TTATTGAATGACTGAGGCAGCTCATAATACTCCACCATTCTGCCAGTGATGAAAAACAAATCATCAAATCATAACTTAAGTCAGATGGTCTCAGGGGCTGTTAAATTTGAGAATGTTCCAAAAGCCTTTAAAGGCACTGTCGTGTGATCACAGGGAAGCTCGTTTTGCTTTCGTTCTCTGTCTAGCATTTGTAAACCAATAACGATCTCTATGCAGATGAAGTCATGGATTCGGGAGATATCCGCTTATTTCATTAGCGCAATGGATAAACAGTCTCTCCAAGTCTCTGAGCAGAGATTAAAACAGGAATTAACTGTCATGGCAACAACACCCACATTACAAACTGGGTAAACCTGACTAAAGTATAACCAGTTGGGGCAATTGAGCTGCTATGGATTTTAAACTCTAGTTGCTGAGTCAAACTGTAGGCTAAAGCTTATGTTCATAGTCACACTGACACAATTTGAATGGGTTTGTGTCACATCTGCACAAAATACAGATGTTTGCCACACTGCAATTGTTGGTGTCCTGCTGCATTAAAGAGGAGTATTCTGCTAGTAAAACTAACATAATAAATGGTACTGTCATGGGAGGGGGGAGTATTAAGTGTGCAGAGTTATTGGCATTCAATTCCTCAATGCTGGACATACTTAAGCAAAGCTTGAAGCTGCGATGGAAGGTTAGGATGGTGGTATTTTGGAAGGACAAGACCAAACAGGATAAAAGGTCTTCTTCATCTGAACTCTCTTGAAGCAGTCCTTAGTAGATGAAGGAAAAGCAGGTAAAAGGTCTGAATGTCATGAACTGCTCACGCAAGTGCCACAGCACACACTGCTAGTGGCATTAGGAACATGAGCTTCTTATTCTGAATCAGATTGGTATGAAGGCCAATGTGCTCCATGGTAAGATAGGCAATGTTTGCAAATAAAAAGAGTTGTTACGATCTGGAAGGCACAGACTTAAAGGGTGGGGTGGGGGCAGATTTTTACAGTGCTTTCAGAAGGAAATTGAATTGGTACTTGAAAAGGAAACATTTGCATGGCTTTGGGGTGAGAGCAGGGGCGTGGGACTAGTTGGATAGCTCTTTCAAAGAGCAGGAACAGGTACGATGGGCCCCTTCTGTGCTGTAGGATTCCATGAAATCACATGAAACAATAATGTACCTTTGGCTGCTTCACTTTCAGATGGACTTTACTTTGTAAAGGCCTCAAAACCGAATTTGTCAATATTCCAAAAACGTGCTCGATTGCCAGTTGGAACTAGATGTTAGATGGAAATTCAGCCTGTAACTTCGGTCATCTATAAATTAAAAATAAAATAGAACTGCATAGCAGACCCAGAGTAACAGCAGAATGCTTAGTAATCAATCGACCTCCTGCCAATTTTGCACTTAGAAAAAAAACTGTGTCAGGAAAATTGTGAGAAAATATGGGGGCCATATCAAGAGAGCCAGAATAATTGAATAATTTACTAACACATCCATGACATGAGACACACTTGGGAATTCATGGAATTTAATTTTTCCCTACTCCAGGAGATGACTTAATTCACTGATAGTACACAAAGGCACATAGGGTTTTCGTTAACACTCTGAAACACAACTTGTAAACCTTTGCTCTCAGTCGCTGTTTAAAGATCGCAAGGCAAAAAATTATTTGTTTGGTTTTGCTTGCTAAAGTTCTCACTCAAACTTTAGTGGAATTCCATAGCCTAGTGGTTAGTGTGCTTACCTCGCAAGCAAGAGGACCCAGATTCGATTCCCAGGCGGGGTGTAACCTTAAGCAAGATTCCTTACTCCACCGCCTCTGTTTACTTAGCAGTAAGTAGGTTGTTAAACGATTAGTGGATTGCTTTCCGGGGGCAGTAATCCCTCCAAAAAAAATTGGTCGTTCAGTCCATGATGGTGGAGTCCTGCAGCTCAGTGGTTAGAGCACTTGCCTGGCAAGCGAGAGACCTGGATTCGATTCCAGGCAGGGCAAAACCTTGGGCAAGTTTCCTTACTCCACACGCCTGATAATAATCCCTCAAGAAAAAAATAATAAATTGGTTACTTCAATCCACGACTATTTGTGGGACACTGCTATGCACAATTGGCTGCCACGTTTCGCCCACAAATATACATTCAATTCAATTTACATTATATTCTGTAAAGCACTTTGAGACGTCTAGAAGACGTGAAAAGCGCTATATCACATGCAAGGATTATTATTATTATGGTTTGTGCAGAATTGGCTGCCACATTTCGTCCGCAAAATACGGTCAATATATTCTGTGAAGCGCTTTGAGATGTCACAACAACATGGTAAGGCGCTATATCAAATGAAAAGATTATTATTGTTGTATAATAATAGGAAAGCAATCTGAAAAGGAATTAAATGCAATTTTTCCTAGTCATTGGGGAAGGAACAGCTGCAGCAGCAAAGAAAGAATTACGTCCATTAACAAAGTAAAAGAAACAATGATAGTTGGGAGCCAGAGGGATAAATATGTTGTGCAACTTGGAAGATGGTGCATTGCTTTATTTCTCATCTTGACAAAGCAAGACGTTAAGTTTGCCTCAAGGTATTTGGTCTGTGGAATATTCTAGCCCTGAGTGACTCCTTGTGTACCTTTCAATGGCGAAATCCTGCGACTTTGACAAACCCAGATTACCTTTAACTCCATGCAAAAGCCAACAACGTCTGTTTAGTGAAACTGAAGTACTTGGGGAGGGGGGGTGGGGGGGGGGTAATGGCACTTCTATAAATCTTTCGAAAACACAATCCTGTGGATCGGTATCTTTTTACATTGGGCAAACAAGAAACTCTTAATTATTTTGATAGCTGGCTTGTTGGGTCCTGGCACAGGTATATTTTATATTACTTCTCCTAGCTGTGATAAATGGAAGATGTAACTTTAATAATAATCATCACCACAGGGGTCATTTATAGATATTCAAAATGTGCTAGGTAACTGGTTTAATTCACGTCGCCATGGATTCAACAGAAAACTGAAAATGTGTTCCACAAATCAAATAATAATCCTTGCATTTGATACAGCGCTTTTCACGTCTTCTAGATGTCTCAAAGCGCTTCACAGAATATACTGTAAAGTGAATTGACTGTATCTTTGTGAATATACCGGCAGCCAATTGCGCAGAGCAGTGTCCCACAAATAGTCGTGGATAGAAGTGACCAATTTATTATTGTTGATTTTTCTTGAGAGATTATTATCAGGCGTATGGAGTAAGGAAACTTGTCCAAATAATAATACAATATAATAATCCTTGGATTTGATATAGCGTCTTCGGGATGGGTCAAAACACTTCACCGAATATACTGTAAAGTGAGTTGACTATATTTGTTGGCAAATGTTTATCAAACCAAAGGTGCATTGAAATCAAATATAAAATCATTCTTCACGGAGTGTTTTTCTTCTATTCTGCACCATTGCTCTCTCTCTGTACAAAAAACATTTAAAGTACCATACAATTACTTTCCAGTTGAATGTCACCCCACGTCACAAAATTATCCCATTATCCACATTTTAGAAATTTGGCAAATTCTTATTGTGTCTTCCACTTTTTGTTCCCCGATCATTTGTTTGTCCAGTCCAGTGCCTTTATTTCCTCCTTGGCACCACTAATCCATACACCGATTACCCCCTGCAGCACAGTCTGTATGCCTCTTCGTCTTTTTTTAAAAAATACAAATTGTACCACAAACAGTGTCCTTTTATGCTGTAGGTCCTGTTTCAGTGAATAAATTCATTGCATGTAGAAAGCAGTTTAGCTTGCACTGTTTGAAATAATTTTCTCCCCACCCCACAAAAAAAAGTTACAATCGCAAACATCATTCGTGTCCACTCAGACCAAAGCACTTATATCCATTTGGATCAGGCAGTACACAATCATTCATATTTCTTTGCGATGGATTATTTGGGCCTGAAAGACCGTTTTGTACAGTCACAGGGTTGACACAAATATAAGAACCAAAGTAATAAATAGTGGCAATAATTCCTGGTAGTACAATGATGTATAGTATCATAAAGGATCTTAATATTCAACAATAAAGCAATTAAAGTTGATGTCACCCACTCGAATGTTTGGCTAAATTGATGATTTTAAGTTTTCAAATAACTGCTGTGTTACACTCATACCGCACTGTATAAGGGTGGTGTAATCTCAATAAAAAGTACACTTACAGCCTTAAGTGCAATTCTCCACTCAACAGTAATTGGGTGGAAAAACTGCTGACCGTCTGAATGCAAGGCTCAATATGTCATTATAACCCATTGACCTAAGTGTGTCAGCAAGGAATATCCTGAACAGAGGAAAACAAAATATTCGTGGTAATTAAAATGGAAAGTGAAGTCAGCACTATAATAGAGAGGAAGTGGTGACTGCCATTGAATTCAGTTCCTCTTTAATTTGTTGCCACCCACAGGAGATACTGATGGGAACGTGTAAATTAGGTGGTGCTTCTTACAGGATCACCATGCATTTTACACTCAGAGTTGCAATGCTTTCCTGTTGTCACTTAGATCATTTTGTAACTTAACTACACCAACTGCTGAGCTGTGGAGCTAAATAGTATCTCGCTTCCAATTTCCATTAATATTATATTTTCATAATTAGAAACACGTTTGTTAGTTGTTCTACAGCTATTGCTGTGCTTTCAAATGCACTTTCCTGTACGTGATATTTTGTTCCAAGCGTTTGAGCTCATTCTCATAAATTTTACAGAGCTATTCTATTGACTCAGTGCAAAATTCACACACACAAATAAAACAATTTTTAGACAAAGAAGAACCTGAATGGTACAACTATGTGGCTCAAATAATTCAAGGATGTGGAACACTCCAGGCTGTGGTAAAACCGTATTAGTTGAAATGTCACTAATGTTAACCCTTTAATATTGGATAACTCTTGACATAAAAGTAATATTTTTGTACGATTTGATTAAGTTTAGAATCGTCTCATCTCAGATGGAAGTTGATAATGTATTCTATCATTTCTACAGAGGCTGAAAGAGCTCAAGCAGAGAGAATTTGCCCGGAACGTAGCTTCTAAGTCAAGAAAAGATGAAAAGAAACAGGAAAAAGCTCTTAAACGTTTATATGAACTAGCCGAACTCAGGAAGCAAGTTGGATGGTGAGTGTAAAGTAATATAATGTTAAAACGCCAAATAGTCATTTGCAGACTTCAATGCAATAAGCAAGAGGGTTATTACATTACAAAATGTTTTATTTAGCCCTCATTAAAAATCTTTCAAATAGCTTAATCATATTAAATTTTATTTAGGTTATGTGAAGCACTACAGGTTGTTAAGTCATATTTTGGCTCCTCTTTCATGCACAGTAATTTCTCAATTTAATACATTTACATCAATCATTAAAAAGGAAAACATTACAAAAATAGGAATTTAAAAAACAAAGATTGAAATTGCATTCTACTCCATCTGTTTGAGGATGCAAATTTCTTAAATGCCCATGTGTCACTCTTCATCTCCTTGATCTATTCCAGCAAATTAGCATTACGAAACCCCTACAGTTTCTCATCATTAGATCATTGATAGTTATTGTCCTCACTCCTAAATCCAGGTCACACTATACTTTAGCTACACAAGCAACTTGTGTATTTTCATTAAAACTGAATTCATTTCTCACACTTTATACGTAAATCAGTTGAAATATTAATTTCCAAAATGATTTTTCACATATTCTAAAATGGGTAGAATGCAAATGGCAACAACATATTTTGGTCTTTACATTTTACGTCCATCATATCTGAATTCCCACATCGCTAGTGCATTTGGGATTCCACCCAAACAAATGAAACGTACCTCTTTGACCTCCCATATTTCAAATCAGTACTTCCTGCTGGTATATTACTTTTCTCCTTTTCAAACTTCGCCCACTTGGGATTCACAATTGGCCAGCTGTGAATTTATCAAACAAGAAATAATCATGTAATGATAATTGCCTAGAAGTATGCATCATATTTATATCTGTGTTATGGGTGAGTGTTATCTTGCTATCAAATGTTAAACAGTAATCTTTGACCACCAGTTGAGACATAAAACAAGTTTGGCGCTTCGAACTTCAGATCATAAAGCTCGCCAGGCAGAATGGGGCTAAATGCCAGCCAATGTGAAGCTTAATGGCACATGTGCAAATGAACCACATGTTGTTCCTATTTGTTTGAGGAATCCAAGGGCTGTTTGTTCTGCAGAATAACCAGACGAGACCCTACATATGCTATTCCATTCTACTATAATTTCACTCTCTGCCACTTGGTCAAACTGACAGTAATGATATTTCTATATTTTCTCCAGCTGCAATGTTTCATGCTGTCTTATTTTATGTGCTCCAGTGCCCCAGGGAGTGGTCCGATGTTCAAGTCCACAACTGTTGCTGTTGCGAACGCCTCGAGGGAAAATCAGCGGCGTGCCAGCATGGATCCTGGAAGAGCGAGCATTAAATCAACAGATCCTGAAACTGGCATTGCAGGCAGCATAGTCGAAATCAGTGGAGGAAGCAGCATACTATCCCCGAGAAATACAACTGACATTTGGAAGACTCAACATTGTAAGCAGGGAAAACAAAGCTGTGGACAGAGGATAGGATTCTCCTTTTCCTTTCCCAAGAAGGTTCCTGTCAAACTGGAATCTTCGGCAGCTGTTTTCTGTGAGAACAGTGAAGAAGGACCAAATAGAAAAAGCGTAAATCATAAGCGCAAAGTCAACTGCAACGCTTACAATACTCCGATGGGTTCAGGAACAGAAGCAGTTGTTGGTTTACAAGCGAAGACAGAGAAGGGTAAGAACCAGCAAGAAATTAGTATTGCCAGCAATGGAATGGAGTTGGTTAAAGAGTCACAGGATTTAACTGTAAAAGCTCGCAGCCCTGCAGGAGAACCCTACTTGTATTCCTATTCATCAGGGCTCCAATGCAACAATAAGCCAAAGCTTCCACTCTTAGCATTTCTGCCACTGGCAGAACAAGGCCAACTCCACGAAAGTATGAACAAGGAAGAAACCTCTTCAGAGAGCGACGTGAAAACATCACAGTCCAAATGCTTTGATTCTGTCGAGGAGACAAATGAAATTTATAATATCTTAAGTAATGAAAGTTTAAAGTCGTTAGTAAAAGTCAAAGCGTGCAAACTCTCTCAAGATGGTAATGTCACTGAAGAGCTCCCTTGCAGCGTTTTCAAGTGTTGTTCTTTACAAGCGCAGACTGAAAACATGGGCACATCTTGTGCATGCAAGAGACCCACCTCACCGTTCTTTCCAGTGCTGAGCAAAGATGGGTCAACTGTCCTTCAATGGCCCTCTGAGATGTTGCTTTCTACCAATACACAGCCCTCCATAACATATTGCTGCAACCCTTTGTATTTTGACTTCAGATCACCCAGAACTAAAGAGGGCATAGAGGAAGTTATATCTGAAGAAAGTGAGTTAATGGAGTTCAAGACACCCGTTGAAGATCTGAGCAGTCTTGAGGCTGGTGTTGAAAAGGAATTTGCATGCAGCCTTTTGGATACCCCACAAGATTGCTCCAATTTTGATGCAGATGGCACTGTCACTGGGAATGAAGTTGATCAGACAGTTCAAAAGCACGACTGTGAAAGGACTCAGTTCATTGCTAACACACTGAAAGCCCACTGTGAGGGAAGTAATCTACATGAGTCCATACACCAAATGTTATCCTATTGCAAATCTAAAAAACACAAAAAGGCTTGCAGACATTCAAACCGCAACCATAGGAGAAAAGAGATAGAAAAAGAAAGTCTTAAAAACTGGAAAGTGGGGAATACACACTGTTGCAAAGAGCAAAACATGAGAAAAGCATCGCTTGAGTGGAAAAATAGAGAAAAGGTAAAGGTAGATGAAAATTTTAGCAGCTCAGGGATGAATGAACTCTCTGATGAAGAAAATATCACAGACGCGTCAAAATGTCGACGTGGGCAAGAACAAACAATGCAAAAAATGTCAGTGAGTTGCACAGAGTACTTTGAAGTCCAGTGTGGTGAAAATAAGGAGGTAACAGAAAAATTGGATAAAAATCTGAAAAAGATTGCCTGTGGCAATCGAGCAAAAAGAGACACTTTGAAAAGTAAACACAGGCAAGTGGTACATAGCAAGAATTATGAAACGAGGAAACAAAGAGAAAGTATTGAGAATGATGGGGAACATGAGAATTCCTTTACAGACAGTGTGAGAAAGATTTGTGGACAACAACACTGTTCACTGTCCAGGACTTCAAGAGACATGCACTCAGCATATTCTCAGGCTTGTTCTTACAAAAGTCGGCAAAGAGGTCGAGATATTGGACCTGATTCTTTATCAGACACTGATACAGACACCGGGCCATACAATGCTGAACGGCAGTCGGTAAAGAGAGGGTACTCCTCTCTGAATGGCGAGACCATAATACCTCATCACAAACACAAGCGACATAGACATTCCTCATCATCAAACAAAGAGCACAGACAAAGTCCGAATTCCTGCTACCGAAGTTTCTATTCAGATTATATCCAGAGCTTGGGAAAAGAATCGCCTCTCCCGAAAAAGGAACAAAGTCATAGTAATAAATCAAAGACCAAAATATCGGCGAGAGAAAAGAGTAGGTGTTTGACACCGGATGAGTTTCAGCATTGCGACCCTTCATGTCAAAAGAAGCTCCTTGGAGATTCTGAACCAAATGCTCAAAGGCAAGATAAGAATATTAGAAACATCTCTCATACTCCTGTAGAGCAGACAGAGGAAGGTCACAGTTCAGTACACACACCGTCAACAGAAACATTTGCAGATGATTACCATTCAGAGATAAGCAACCATTTGCTGAATTCGAAAATGACAATGAGTGGACATGAATGTGATGAACGTACAAATAATCCCAAATATTCTTCTGAGGATATTTTATTTCCTGGACTTTCATTTGTGCTCCGTGATGCTTCTGTTAAGCTGCACAGTGAAGAGGTATCAACTGTGAAGACCCTACCACAGGGAGATGCAATTTATCACAAGGAGATGGACTCATACAGCAATAACGTTACAGATGTGGAGACATCACTAAATGAAGTACATGTCCGTCACTATGAAACGCTGTCTGAAGAACGTGCGGGAAGAACGGAACGGCTTCGAGTTGCTCCGAATGTTGTGCCCTCCAACAGCCACAGAGCTTCTCAGACTGAGGCACCGGAGAGCACTGATTGTGAACAGCCACAGACTGAGCAAATCCACAAAGCTTTTTCCCCACTCTCCCAGACAATATCATTCACCCCAGAGGAAGCCGAGAAGTACAAGCAATTGCAGATTCAAGCGCAGCAGCACATCGAGCAGCAGAGGCTAGTGAGCAAAGTGAAGGGTGCCTTGCCTGCTCCGGCCATTACTGCAGCACTGGCCCCACAGCAGCCTATACATCTCCAGCAGTCTGTCACCACGGCATCGATTACAACCATTCATCACACGATACTCCAGCGCCACGCTGCAGCGGCTGCTGGATCATTCATTCAGCCTCACTCGCCGTCTCTCCCACACATCCACGCTCTCCCAACCCACATTTCACTAGCCCCTGGCCTCTATCCAGGAGGTCATCCAGCCTTTCTAGCAGCTCCTCAACTCCACATTATTCCTGCCAGAGTTCTGCATCCAGAGCATTTTGCCCTCCATCCGTTGCCGATTGCTAGATTGTTTCCTCCGTTAGTTACCTTGCACTCTCCTGCTATTCCTCTCCACCCTTTACTTCACCCTAGTTTCGCTGGTCAGGATTTTCTGTACCTAACCGGTCAGAGCAAATGATGAAATAAATGTTTACTTGAATAGCCTGGAATCCAGGCCTGGCTTTCAATATGTCTGTATATAATCGTAACCAATATCAATTTGTGTAAGGGATCTATTTTGGGCGCTTTTACTAAGTTTTTACAAAGTGGTGGAAGGAACATTAATTAATACCTTATATTTAATGTCTCACACCGATTGCTCTTTTACATTTCATGTTGTAAGTATTGGAATGTTCCCTTTCACTCTCATACTTGAACCCTACACACAGAGTACAGAGTATTATTGTTCATGAACTTCTGGTAGTGTTTGATGTAAATAAAATATGTGCATTAATTTAGTTCAAATGTACACAAACCTTTTAAATATATTATGTATTGAATTATTTCTACTTTGGCATATTTTCTTTGCTGTTTGCTATGTCTGTTTACGTATACAGAGGTAACTGTGGCTATTGTATTGGTGACACCTTGCCAAGGCATTGCATTTTATATTATTCCAGTCCAAAGGACTACCAGTTCTAAACAGTTTTAAATAGTTTACGCATGCATGCACACCATAGGCAGGAGCTGCAAAGCATTTACAGAATCAAAGTGTTGTCAATGAAATTATAAATTACAAAGATAAATTGCAAACCGTTTAGAAACATCATCTGAACAGCAACAAATTGTGTTTATTTAGTGGCTTTCACATTGCCAGAATGTCCCAAGGCACTGGACAGTAGAGGGTTTGCACCTGAACTACAGGTTGGATGGAACCAAAGATTGCCTCAGTGTCTTATTTAATAATCATTTAATTCAAGCGCTCTTAGACTCTGCCCTGCGTGAGGGATGCTGTATAAATGCAAGTTGTTGTGTTAATCTTTACTAGCTTTGTTTTTGATGCACAATATTTACATCAATTCTATGAGGATGTCAAAGAGTACCAGATTCCTGAAGCATTACCTTTTCCTGGTAAATTACCAAGCTTTCACCATTAAATAAAACTTTGTTTTAATGACACGAGAGACTTTATTTACCAATGATTTAATAAAAGATTTGAGTTAATGATACAGGAAGGTGTACGTTATGAGGTTATTACACACTGAGTAATATCTGATTATAATCTTACATTTCAACGCAGCAATGTAAAGTTTAATGAATCCATCCCGTTAATAACGATAATGCCAAACTATTACTTCATGAAATGTGAAATGATTTCTGACAGATTCAGTTTAATTCCCAGTGGGCATTTTGCATATATAAAACTGTCCCTAATTCAACACTAATAGACACTAAATTAGTAGCCCGACTCTAAAAGATATCACGAATAGAGCGGAGGATATGGATAATGAAAGTGGTACAGTACAGCAGTGTGGCAGGATGGTCATTGAGAATAAGTGAAAAAATATTCCTTTCTTGAACATTGGTGTCCCTCTTGCTAACAAATATTATTATTATTATTAAATAACACACATGTAGAGGAAGATTTTCCTGAAAACAGACACAGGTACGTATCACTTAAACTTGAGATGTTTTCTACATGCAATTATTTCAATCTATCACGTGAATATTATCGCTTATGATAGAACTATGCACAAGTGAGAATAGTTTTAATGGCTCTAGGTAGTATCGTGTCACACAGTGTAAATGATGTGCGCCCAGGCATGTGGCAATGCTCACTGTTGCATACAAATCAGGTCAGAAGCAAATCCAACAAGACTTGTTTTTATGGGTGTTTAATAGCAACAACTTGCATTTATACAGAACCCTTCACAGAGGATAATGCCTCACTTTAAAGAGACCGAGTCAGACGCCAAGTAAGTGTTGTGCACTGTTATGTTCCACATGTTAGATAACATCATTTCATTTTACTCAGAAGCCACATTATAGTGTTTGAGTCAAAACTTTCTGCAGTGATAACTGGCAAACAATGGGTTGTAATTTGCAATATTCAAGAAACAGACCTGTGGTAATTGCAAAATTTGTGAATCCCAAACTGGTACAATATTAAAAACAAACAGTCAGATAGAAAACACTTTCGAGGAGTGGACAACTCTTTGCCAAAAGTTGACCTGTCGCAGAGGTACCCAACAACCTGCCTGAATAGAAAGGATCACAAGCACTATTCCTGGCAGCAACCTATTTTCTCAGCCTGAACCTCTACGACTTTGCTCAAATGCTGAGCAGCAAATCTGATGACATTGTTGACTTCTATGAAAGCCAGATGTCAGCCAAAGAAAACTTACTAACAATAACAGCAACAACTGCAATTTCATAGCGCCCTTCGTGTAGGATAGCGTCTCTGAGCATTGAGCAGCTGGCAGATCTTCTGGTTTAAATGCTTTCAACTCCTCTCGGAAGTATCGCAAATCATGCCCCAGAAACAAAACGGGTTCTTGATGGGCCAGAGGGAGGTTATGAAAATGTTTATATGTGATAGTGTAGACATTTCCAATGTTCTGAAGCTGAAAGAACATTGGGAATTCCTCAGGAGACAACCACATGTTTGTATTCCCTTCTTCCAGGAGCACGTTTCCTCATTTGGTGATGGAATTGCTTTCATTGAGATCCTACCACAGATAATTTGCCACTTAAAACTATGCAATATAAATAAATCTCCAGCAGTGCGACACTCCCACTAGCCTGCCAGCATGGCGATTTTCAATACTGGCAGTGGAAGAGACTGCAGCTGTCAATTCTACCACCTTCAGCCTGACCCCCATTTCATAGGCTGCCCATGGGATAGTGGCAGATGTGTTGCACTCACTGTGGCGTCTGTCACTCCAGCTTATTTGGAACCAATGTCGATGTACATCATAGCAAAATCCAAAAAAATCCCAAACAGTTTTTAAATGCATTCCTACCCTTTGCTAAAAATAAAAAAAACTAATTATTAAAGGCCAGGACACCCGGAGGTAGGTATCACTTGTCTTTTCAAATAGTGCATGGGATCTTTGATGTTTACCAAAGGCAGAGAGGACCTACCTCGGTTTAATGCAAAATTGCAGCACTTTTCTGCAATACCTACGTCTCACCCTATGAGTTCAAAGACCCAACGTGACGACTAAACTCACAACCTTCTGAATCAGAGATGAGAGTGCTGCCACCTGAGCCCAACTTGAACTAGTCGAGCAGAAATACTTAATCTCTTTACATTTCTAAATCAACCTATAATTCAAATTGGATCAAGTTTAGCCTGTAATAGCCCTTGTGCAATATAAATCCAATCAGCTGCTTGCAGTGTTGCTTTATTAGTGTACAAGAGGCAGCTCTGTTTGGTAACATGCACTGCAAGACATGATACAGGTTTGTAAACACAGAGTGGGTAGCACATGACTGGTGACCCCAATCAGATCTGTTGATGGAGATTATTTAAATATCACAGATGGCATTGTGCTGCTTTCATATTAATTCATCAGTTCACACTAAGGTCCCACCCAACCAGCTACAATAAGTGGACCATTTTCATCCTGAGGTCTGCACAGGTCTTTAGCAGAGAACTTAAGTATGATTTGTTATACATAGAAAAACAATTTTAGAAGATGTTCTGATTTATTACTGGCTACTGTGCATTGTAAGTGTGTACATCTGCCATAATAATATAGAACCAATTAAAGCCCAATAAATAATGGAAGTGATCAGCATGGGTCTTGTTTCTGACAGTGACTCAGTGCATCCCCAATACGTGTTTAGGTTGCTGCTAATCGCAATGGGTTGCGAAACTGAACATTTATCATACCCACAAGCCTGGTTGTTGAAGGTAAAACGTCATGGGAATCGGTTCTCTAATTATGCTCGATAAAGTGGCTGGAAGCAGCAATGCTCAATCTCAGCTGGAGCCCAGAGAAGGCACCAAAGCAAAACTTACCCACAGGAAAAGAGACAGCTCTTTGGGTAAGTCATTCCCAGGAAGCTCAGACATTACCTCTAACTGAATCACATGGAGTCCTGTAGCTCAGTAGTTAGAGCACTCGCTTTGCAAGCGAGAGACCTGGGTTCGATTCCCGGCAGGGTGAAACCTTGGGCAAGTTTCCTTACTCCACGCACCCGATAATAATCCCTCAAGAAAAAAAATGATAATAAATTGGTCGCTTCAATCCACAACTGTTTGTGGGACACTGCTGTGGGCAATTGGCTGCTGCATTTTGCCCACAAATATACAGTCAATTCACTTTACAGTCTATTCTGTGAAGCGCTTTGAGACGTCTAGAAGATGTGAAAAGCACTATATCAAAATGCAAGGATTTATTATTATTTGCAGGGACATGAAGGACACAACAGGAACAACAGAATATTTAACTGAGAATAAACATTATTTCTGCTGTTGAATTGTATTTCGTGCTGAGATAACTCCATCAATGTAAGATTTAACAAATTAACAAAATTAACAAGATTTAACAAATTAACAAATATCAAACATGGTGGGCAGTATCTTCTGGAGAGCAGTGAAATATCAGTCACACAACACAAAAGCAGTTATTAATTATCAATGTTTTTTTATGACCCAATATACACCAGATCTTTCGTTTCATGAACTGTAGCTTCCAGTTTCCAAAATTCAGACCTGGGAATTATTAATCAACAAATTGCCAAAGTCTTATAAGGCACAAATTGAAATAAAGACAACAAATTCAGTTTACCCAGAAAAAACAGTCACTACACTTTACAGTAAATCATGTGAAGCACTTTGGAATGTCCTACCGACATGAAAGTCACTGCCTTGGGATGCCCTCATGACGTAGAAGGCACTATATAAATGCAATGTATGGCTGTTGCTCAAAGGCGCTATAACAAATGTAAGGGTAATTATTAAGGTTTTTTTTTAAACAATGATCACAAAACAAAATGGACTTTTCTAGTTCAATTCACTCAACATCCGATTATGGAATTTGGTGCCTGGGGGACAAGAATTAATTCAAGAGAATTCCAACAGTTAGATTGTTCCATATTCCACCATTCAGTGGGAAACACATAAAGGTATAAAGCAGAAACAGTTTGATGTGCAAGGATTACTCCTTCTATAAATTTTAACAATAAAGCAAAACCGGTTAATGGATTTTTTTCAGACCAGTTACTCTCTGAACAACAGCTGCACTGCAGCAGATGATTGAAAGATTAATATGTTCCACCAAAAATGTGTTGTTTC